AGATTAGGGTTCCAGTAAGTTTCTTGCAAACCAAGGTCACTGCAAGCTTGACCAGGGGATTCGTTAGGCGTCACCTGCGTACGAAGTCAAAGCTATAGCACACCGTAAACCTGATAGTTTCAGAGGATTTCATTTGTTGACGCAGCTTCCGTGTCTTATATAAAGCCAGTCATTATTGTCTGTGCCTTTTGATACCTTCGAGACTTTACATGGTGGACTTTGTATGCGTTCTTCATGCTGCATCTCAGACGCTGCTACCGGAGTTGATCGCGGTACGGCTTATATCACCTGCACACCTGCAAAGGCCTCGGTCGTCAAGCTAGTATTTACTATATGTGCACGAACTGGTGACATGCCTGGCATGATGTGGAAAGAGGAGGCAACCGATGATACATGTATGACACATGTACGGTTCGAATTGTACATTGTTTAAAATACCGTGTACTAGGACCGCACCGGCAACATCTGTCACAATGTTTGCAAGCATACTTATAGTTCGTTGTTGAATCGTTCTAAAGTACCTTCGTGAGGTTCAAAAGCTGGCTGAGGCCACGCCGAGGCGGCAGGGTGGGCGAGCAGCACCAAGGGCCCGATCAAGGAGTGGACCACCGTCGGAGTAGCTTATGGGTTCGAGGTGATGCAATCCTGAATGGATAAACTTTCTGCACACGGACGTTGCCCAGGGGTCGCGAAGCTCTGCCTGGCCCTGCTTGCGTGGGAGTTCGCCTCCAAGGAGATGCATCAACAGTTTTGCCGGGGTGTCTAAAATCATCTAGAGTACCGGCCCAAACTGCCAGGTGCGCGAGCTCGTCTTCTTGGACACGGAGGCGGGGGGCCCAGGGCTGAAGACGTACCTGGCCGAACAAGGGTCGGTCTGCCGGTTGCAGGGAAAGAGGACGTAGGCTTCTAAGCGCAGGAATCTAGAACCTTCAATATGTCAAGGAGGTCCATATGCACACCGGTCAACGAGCACCGCACCTTCGGGCTCACACGCTGCGGCTCGCTCTTGCCGTGCGCAGCCTCTGCTTTGCTTGCTCGCGTCGATTCTTCCACAGCGGCCTTGAACATACTTTCCTCCACTGCACGGACATCAGCAAGCTCTCCACGGCCACAGATATGTTCCCCCCCCCCGATTGCGACTCCTCCGCTCCTCCGGGGTGCTCTGGCCTCCTCCCCGCCGACATCAAGAGCAGGGCCCTCTTCTTCCAGGCTTCTCTTCTGAGCGCGCCTCGCTGCTAAATGTGGCAGAAGATGGGCCATTGGGTCGTCATCCTCGGAGTTGTCCATGGCCGTGGAACCTTTCGCCCGTGCCAAAGTTCTGCAAGCGATGAAGATTGATGCATGAGGTTTGTTGAATTGCAAAAAGAATGCAAGTGGAAATGTGGCCACGTGTTCAGCGTTCCAGCATTTGTCTCCTCTATGTATCCCAAGAAGGCGCCTCCTAGAAACAAAACTCCTCTTGTTCATGCTCTTCATGTTCTCCAATAGAATATTCTTAACCCGCGCTTGCACTCTAAGGCATTGAAACTGAGAAGTAGCGGCGCAGTCTTCCACAGCACTTGGCTCGCACACACCTTGGAGATGGTACATGAGTAGCAATCACGGACTCATTGCCTCAACCACTGAGTGTGAGTTTCACTCCAAACCCCATCTCAGAACATCCCCCACGCTCATACCACCCAGCGCCTTTTCTCCATCATAAAGCTATTAATGGTTGTGGTCAACTCTAAACCAGATTCTGAGCACAAGTTTGTGGATGCTTCAAGCGCATATTCGAGTCGATCATCTCTAGAATGAGGGGAACTTACAGTGGCGGAGGGCGGAACCCACTGCTGCGCTCGAAGAGGCCCTTCTTGGCGCCACCGATGGGGGGCTGCAGGGAAGAGGCTTTCCGCCAACCACTGAACAAAGAAAGGCATGCAAGATAGTCTTCCAAAGGGCACACTATCTACAAGTGGCCAGAAGACGGCACCATGCTTGACCAACAAAAATACCACAGCGGAATAAGCACCGCTAAAGTTGGAAACGGTTACTAGGCACAAACAAAGAGAAAGAGGAAATCTGGCGAAATCTACTTGCAACGTGGCAAACCAGAAAGGTCAAAATTGCGAGTCCCCTCTGCAGAGAAACTCACTGGCTGCTGCGCCTGCGCGGATCCGGTCTTCTGGTGGTAGGCGCGGTGGCAACCTGCATATATGTGGCGTGCCGCCTTGGACTTTGCAATGTTGGTGAGTGTGATGGAATAAGTGGTGGTTGTACATAGTGCACACACCAATGGCCCTAAGATGATGCAGTCGCAAATCATTGAATACCCATCTGCTGGATCCTGAAGCACCTATGGCGGTTATGCAGACAAAGAAGGGCCTCAGCCTTTGGAAGATTAATCAATTCCTCTATGGATTATGGAGAGATTGGAACCCCAGGAATCGCTCACCACAGGCATCACAAACATCTTCCGGGGGCTCAAGACCAGCGTGCCGCTTTGGCACAAAGGCCTGGCAGCCGTCGTGGACGGGCGCACCAGCCTCCAGATCATGATTATTTAGACAGGGGCCGTCATGCCCTGCCAGCAGCCCACCCCCCCAACCGCCACCGGCATACATCTCTACGAGAGCTTCACTAGACTGCATGGAGTTACTTTGTGAGTGCGGAATGAAAGCGCCTACCTAAGAACATAGGACAGCCCCTCGGGGATGTATCGAATCAGTTTCTGCAAGCAGGGATTGCCTGCAACGAGCACTCGATTCTTAAATTTTGGCGCGGCCCAAAGAAATAATTGCCCAAAAGCATGACGGGCAAGCTGGTCTGCTCGTTGCAGGAAGGATTGGCGGTTAGGAGTGGAGCAGCAGTGGATGGATGCGCGGGGAGTGAGTGTTGGTGAGAAGAGAACTCGAGAGGTGAGAGAGGTGCAGGCCGCTCGGCAACGGTACGAGCAGGCGTTGCAAGAAGGTGGAGTTATAAGCCGGAAGTCGGTGAGCGAAGGGTTTGAAGATAGTCGGCAGAAGACGTTTCAGGAGTTCGTCGAGTTTCTGGGGAGTGTTGGATGCGAGAATGTGCGGGAGGCGAGCGGAGCAGATGTGATAGCATTTGTGCAGGGGTGGTGGCTGGTGAGCCATCGGGGAAACTTTCGAACGCAGGCGCCGGGAAGCTCGGAGAAAGTGGCTTCCGTGTCAGCCGTGAAAGGGGTGATCACTCAGATTGCCAAGAGTTATAGTATGCTTGGTGTGTGTGACGACCAAAATCCGGCTAAGACGGAAGCTGTGCGGAGTTACCGGGAAGGTTATCGGGTTATGCTGCGAGAGCAGGGGGTTCGCGAGAAACGAGCTAAGATAATGCCAGAAGAGAAAGTAACGGCTTTGGTGGAATATCTGAACGGCGAGGTGCGGTGGGCGCAGGGAACGGTGAAGTGCTGCGCCGCGATGGATCGGGCCATCGTTTTATATCTATGGGAAACTTGGGCACGTGGCAAGGAGTGCGGGACGGTAGAGAAGAAACAGATCGATTTCCGGAGTG